TCTGTACATATATGCCCCTTTTTTGGAATGCACAGTGGTCCTAATATGGATGAGACCCAGCCCGCAGGACCAACTTCGCCTTTCAAAACGTGACGACACGACGCTTTTCGCTGGGACCGCGACCTTTTTTACTATTTAGAAATGCATCCTGATGGCGTAGCGCACCCGTAGAACCAACGCCTATGCAAAAAGGTAGCCAAGGGGGGAACTCTTGAGAGATCTGTCTCGAACCACTGCTAATACCTTGAAGCAAGCAACAACGGCGTCTTGTCCGATGAGGATTATTTGAAGCAGGCTCAAAAACTTTAATTTTCCACTCCAAATGTGGTGCAGATCCGCACCTCAGTCCACCAAAAGTAGTGCTAAACCCTAGCCGACTCAACCAAAATAAAGCCTTATAACTTCAAAAATGACTAGCTTTCGCTAAGAGAATCCCTTCCAAGTTCGTTAATAAAATCTGACTTGAAAAAATAGGCACAGGACAAGCCCGCCACACGGGTGGGTTGTACACTACATACATGCCTTGATAAAATATGTAGCGCCAACGAGACTCTTCTTGTGCTAAATCCCGGAATAGTGGCGCACTAAGCAAAAAAACGTCGTGCCATCGGCATTGTGGTCAATATGCTAAAATAGCGAACAGCAGCAATATTTCACTTGTTAGCATCGAAATACCAGACCTCTTCATCCTAACGACTGTATCGTGGAAAGTAAATCAACTTTCTCTACTAGCAGTCCGAGAAAACCTGAAGCAACCCTTCAATGACAACTACCTCATATTTCTCAGAATACCCTCTGTGCTTTCATATTTCTAGCGACTTCTGAAAGACCTATTCAAAACCTCATCGGTGATGGTGGTGGTGGATGCAGTACATATGTACATATGTAATGACCATAGTGAATTCAGTCGGCCCTGGTTTCATCGACGGGCGAAGCTGCTCTGGTGTCGAATCTCCCCCAAGCCAACCGTCTTCCATTCCCTGCAGGATCGGCTAATTGGGTCCGTACTTGTCACCCGTACACCGTACCATCAGTGATGCGGAATCAGCGTCCAGCAGTCAAATAAGTCTCGTTGCTATCAAAATCAAGGTAGCCTTAAAATGTCCCGCAAGTCTTTGTTCAGGCCATATCCCATTTCAACCGCCACCATGTTACTGAAGGGAAATAGAGTGCATGGCACATCTCAAAAACAAATTGTTCATCCTTGAAAGCGTTTTCATCGTTCCGTTCATAGCTTCTGTGGAACTCGTCGCTGATTTTTCTCTGTCAACGATGCATTAGTCTGCACAATCAAGATGATAGCGTGCAGTCAAGGTGATTGTAATGAAGTCATTCTCCCGTGTTTACCAGTTCTACTTGATGTCGCCATTTCAAGAGCCATCCCAGGTCCATCAAACATGTGATTCCTAATCTTGTCTGATTGGTATGTCATGAACATGTGATTGATAGTCTCATATTAGTTCCAAACAGATCTGGTAATGTTACAAACTATTCATAGGCTGCTTTGGTCTCGCTATTGTTCCCACCGTTCTTTAACCCCATTTCAAACATCAAGAGAGTGAATAAGTCTCCGACGAATCTTCGCTCAAAACCGTGCATCAGACCACCCTTCAATCGAGTGTCTCGGCCAGTTTTGTGAGAACTTGTTCACGTTAAGAATCGACGATTACGTACTTTGTCCACAGATTTTTTCTATCGAGCTCTTTTCCTGTTGACTTCTTCAATCATTACACGCCATCGTGTAATGTAAAAGAGAGGCCGCTTTCCTCTTTGAAAATGGTCCCTGCGAAAGCATCACTGATGAAAAAAACAACCCCAGGAAAAAGGTAATGATGAACTCGAAGGCTTGTTCCCCTATGGAGCTAATTGTAAGTGAATTAACCCTTTAAAAAGAAGGGTACTACGCACAAAGGTAAGGGATGCGCGATCCTTGGATCTCGAAAATGCCGACAAAAGCGTTAGTGCTTCTTCATTACCGTTACTAATCGACGAGGTGCTAGTCGCGTCATTCGTCTGTTATACTGTCTCGTTCCACTCGCCTGTTCCTTCACCTTAACGCACAGTATGTCAGAGTTTATGTTCCTGTTCACCTAGCAAGTGCGCCGAACACCAAGAAAAAACCTGCTAGTGATATTGGCTCTTTATGCCTATTTTCTTCACATCGAAGCTCTATTGACACTTTTTGCAAAACATCTACACCCATTTTATCGTGAGAGGTACTTTAACGGGGCCAAGTATAGTGCTAACAAGCCGAAAGTCACGACGGCCTCCCGCTTCCCGTTTCATTTTCAGATTTACAAAACAACAGCACTCTTGTCTTCAAACAGAAAACAGCCCTAGATAACGTACCCTCTAATTTGGGAAACGAGAAGAGCATCGAGTGCAGACCGCACATCACAACTGACGACAGCCATAGAAAAAGAAAAGAAAAAGCCACGTTTTTTTTTCGGCGTGGCCAAATTGTACGATAAATTCAAATTTTTCTTTGCCCAAAGTTGGATCTCAAAAGAAATCAAGACATGTTATAGGACTTTGCCACCTTTGTCTCTTCGGTAAGGCCAACGAACGAGAGTCGTTCACATACTAACATTAAGCTTGGCCTTAGAGCTTCGATTACTTGCTCATTAAAATTAATGTTAAAGTAAACTTCAATCGAATTGCGGAACGTCTGAACTGTAGAAATGTTCGCACTTTTTTCAACAGACGCTTGTGATGGCGATAAGTTTGTAGCCATGATTGTCAATAAGTAGCTAGCTGATGGCAAGGTCTCGGCTATTCTGGGACACTCACTTTGTTAAGTAAGTGTTCCAGAATTTTCAAAATTTACTGAATTAATTCCTTCTAGTATGCGTCACCCCTTTGATTTAAACAGCTTCTGCGCACTCGAGCATTGGTTTTGTCATGGACGAGCCAAGTAATTAACAGTTTGCTTCCATCCCCCTCATTACCAACTCATGGTCAGAAGAAGGGTTGCCTGGATTGGGCAATATCCTAAACTGGATTCATACTCACACCATAAATAAGGTTGCGACACCATTCACCACTGCTCTACTTTCGCTCTGCTAGACTTCATCGATTTCTGGTGGCTGAAATTTTCTCCAACCAGAATTACAAAAGCTGTGCGGACTCCATACTGTCGAGACGAAACTGCTAGCGCTTCATATGAATCAAAGAGCCGTCTGGTGGCATTTGTGCTTGGTTTTCACTGTTGCAAAGTTGTTGTTGTTGTTGTTTCTCTCCTGCCGTGGTCTTCACCCTTGTACTGATCCTCTCGGTTTCCCAGTAGTCTCTTTCTTCAAAGTGCATT